ACATCGTACATGCAACGTACAAGTTATTAGTTAATAAATACAAATACACCGCACACGCAACGTAGAGTTATTAGTTAATAAATACAAATACACCGTACACGCAACGTGGAGTTATTAGTTAATAAATACAAATACACCGTACACGCAACGTGGAGTTATTAGTTAGCGTGTCAGTAACAGTTGGCATAGAAATTGACCCTGCTCAAGATCGTAACGCTGACCAAAAATTAAAAAAAATGGACGAATGTGAATTGGAACGAATGTGAATTGGGACAAATCGACTTGTGGGACGAATCGACTTGTGGGACGAATGTGAATTGGGACGAATCGACTTGTGAGACGAATGTGTTGGGACGAATGTGAATTGGGACGAATTGACTGTGAATCTTCCTACGCTCTGTTGTTTGTTAGCACAGACTTTATGGAGTTTTCAACTTTGAACTTCTTACGGTCAATTTAGATTCCTCTCCAACAAAAAAACATTACTATGGACGTCATCGCCACCATGTATACTACTCTATAGTTGCACATTTCCCACTTAACCCCGCAAGACTGGTGTTAAAATCATGAAAGCGTACCTTATGCTGTTATCCAGCTCAAACTTTGGTTGAATTTTACCGCCCTTCAATCAAAACAAAACGCCGCCATTTTGTTTGAATGCGCATGCGTAAATGAAACAGCGTTACATGTCTCGTTAGGGGTAATGATATTCCTAATTTTGGTGGGAGTGCGTCATATTCCTTTCATAGAAACTATTTGCCTACTTACAATTCCAACTTCGTACACCCAATTTTATAAAAATACTAACTAGGATCAGACAATAACCTTTAACCTCTGAACTCGTATGGTCTCGTTCCCAAAATGAGGTCGCGCGAGAAACTCGAGATTGTCAAAATACAGGAAACAAGTGAGATCGTCTTGTCGAAAGTATCATGATGAAGAGGGTACGGGGAGAAGATATTTCATCCGCTGTTATGAATTATTTAAAAAAGAGACAATACACTGTGAGTATTTTTTACTTGTAATTTTCAACATGGTGAAGCGAACATGAAACCACAGAATTATGATCGTGAGTCGCCGTGATGGAGAGATGCTGATCGCCGAGTTGTTTGCTCTAAAAGTGTCGTCGACCGGTGTCTTCGGTCGCCCCCATCCCTCTGGGGGTAATAACCATGTAAGCTTGTTGTTGGGTTCATCAATTTAATAAAATTACTGTAGAAAGTCACGAGTCAGGTAATAAACTTTATTAATACAATTTTCTAAAAGATAAATATGTAACTGTGGTCTGGGAGAACCTTGCTGCTGTTAATCAATTTTTTCAGAGATTTTCTAATTTGTATTTCTTTCTATGTTGAATTTCAGTGTATTTTAATTTTAGTGTGTCTTATTTTATTTGTCTTTTGTATTCATTTTTTTTTTTACCTTACTAAACCCACAGATGGTTAAGTTGTGTAATAAAGTTATTATTATTAATACACAACTGTACCGTCAGAGGGCACTGTATGGTAAAATATATAACAACGAATTCTGAAATATTAGAATCATGCATCACAAAGCAACCTTTTTTTCTTACGCTGTATTTATTCAAGTTACTGTTCTATAGATTGTGTTTTTCAGATACTTTGCTTAAATTAAATTATGTATTTTTTATACAGGATAGTGAAACGTCATTCAAGAAAGAGATCAAGTGTAGTCGTGCTGTCACCGAGATGGCAAGTGATGTTACCATGGATATGGAAACCAGTGTAACAAATACTGTCTCTTATACAACCTGGTAAGGCTAGTAATATCATTCATTTACATGCGTATTGCAAGTTGATTTGTGACTGCTGATCAGTTAATAAAAGGATCACATCACTTCATTCATTTTGGTCAGAGTTTAATGTTTTATCGGTGTCTAGCTTGATTAAAAAGTGGATGGAGTCTTTCTGTCTATTCCAGATTTCAATATTGCGATATTTCTTCACAAATGAACTTGAAAAAAATTTCTCTTTCACTTAAACTGAAGGCGGTTTTTGTCACACCACACATGCATGAGATATGGGTCTCATATAAACAAAGATGGCGACTTTGCCTGTTGCGCAAACTAACAAGTACAAACTGAGACGTTGCCAAGCTTTAATTAGATATTTTGTTGGTGATTGGAAGGTATCGAAATAGTCACCTGTCTGTTCTGCCCAGGTCAAAACTCATACTTGTAATTTCCATTAGAAGAGTGCATTGAACTATGGGAAATTAAATATTTATCAACATAAATGTCCATTTTTAACAGTATTATAATCATCATAGTTATCCTGATTATTAGTTTTACAATGTCATACCATTTGTCATATAGTGATCCTGAACCAATGTTGTTTGACATACAATTTTCAAGACTCAAGACGTTTATTGAAGAAGGAGTTGAGGAGTTCAAGGTGAGTGAGTAAATTCCTAGACTGGTTATCGTTGGGTCCCCTCATAATAGTCTGGAAATGCTGCAAAGATATACTTTCCACAGTCGGTGGGTGACTGTGATGTTGATTGGCTGATAAATATATCACACTGCTATTATAAATGTGCTAATTTCCTGAACAATGGATGACAGTTGTACATTCTCCCCACACTGCATCAGCTGATAGTTGCTGGATAACTACGGTTTACCTATTCCCCTGTTCCACCTATTAGTTGCCACAAAAACAAAAGTGCACATCAGGAGAGAATGGAAGTACAATATATAGTGAGGAATGTACTATTATTTTTCATATTTAACAATGGAAGATCTTGGTGAAAACATTTGAATTGCAGTCCCCAATTCTTTAGTCCCCGTTCGGACACAGTTCGAAAACGAGGATTTATGTTTTGACCTCTGTGTGTCCGTGCGTGCGTTCGGACCTATATCTTAGAAATGTCTGGACCAATCACAATCAAACTTCACACATACATCATACATGGTATTATACATATGCACGTCAATTTGTTTCACAATCTGATCCAAGATGGCCGAATAGCGGCCATTTTTGTGCTAAACATCATCAAAATCAAGCATTTCTCAGCTGTTTACAGATGGATTTTGTTCAAACTTAGTATATGCATTAGACATTATAGGACCTTGATGCACATCATTTTGTTTTACGATCTGATTCAAGATGGCGGAATGGCGGCAATTTTTGTGCTAAAAAATCCAAAAAATCAAGCATTTCTCAGCTGTTTACAGATGGATTTTGTTCAAACTTGGTATATACATTAGAAATTATGGGACCTTGATGCAAATAATTTTGTTTTTCAGATAAGATTCAAAATGGCCGACTGGCGGCCATTTTGTTTTAATGAATGTGCTTCTCATTCATATCTCTGACTTGCTTTCACCTATTATGTTCAAATTTTAAATATTCATTATACATCATGTCATGGATAAACAGATATATTGGTTTGACGATCCTATTCAAAATGGCCGAATGGTGGTCATTTTTGTGCTAAAAAATCATCAAATATCAAGTATTTCTGGCATTTATGGATGGATTTCGTTCAAACTTGGTACATACATTAGAAATTACGGGTTCCTGATGCACGCCATTTTATTTTTCAGATTGGATTCAAAATTGCTGACTGGCGGCCATTTTGTTTTAATGATTGGGTTTCTAGAGCCATATCTCTTAAATGCTTTGACTGATTATATTCAAATTTTATATATTCGTTATACATCATGTTATATATATACATGTATTCAAAATGGCTGATTTTGAATGCTGTTCCAGAGCAATATCTCTTAATATGGACAAGTACTTGTTTGACAATCAGATACAAATGTCAATCATTTTAATGTTAAAAAATCATATTCCTGACATGGTTATATTCCAGCTATATTACTATAAATAAAACTATATATCTTAAATTTGATAACTAACGGGGACTGTGCCATGCATGGCTTGTTCAAATTGGAATCCCTTATTGACCTCAACCCTCAACTTTAGCGGTGACGTCAACTTCATGCACCATCCACAAAATAATTGTAGTTCGTTTTTTTTACAGAAAATGTTAACAATAATGTTATTATATTTATATAAACTAGAAGCAATGTCACATTTTTGTCTGTTTGGTTCAAAATTAAAAATGATTTCAGTACAAATTACAGAAAATGTGAACTTTACCCCATTTTGAACAGGAAAAAAATGATGCAACTACTTATGTTTTTTCCCTAGCTCACAAATGAAATAACAGAAAATCGCACATTGATATCACGATCTTTCTATAGTTATGAAATTTGTACTTTGAAACCATATTTTACAAACAAAATTACTTTCTTTGAATATTTTTTTTATTTTTTGAATTCCATTGTTACTTAAAATCTCTCCAAAACTGTCACCCATCAGTTGGTTCACTGATGGTGGTAATCTCAACTAACATTTTTGGCTTTTATAGACATCTATTGAGATGTACACCTAATAATAAATATGATATTTGTAAAATTACCGGTAGTGTTGATTGTTATCCTGCAGGTTGAACTGGTTGCTGTCTTGTATCCATTATTTGTAAACCTGTATATCGAGATGATATGTCAGGGACACAAAGCAGCAGGTAAATTATTTAATAATGCTTTTGTTTATAATGACATGACAAACAGTTTATGCTACATTCTTGTACAATGATGTGAAATAAATGCTGTTGAAATTGATAATGGCATAGAGTACTGAAAAATACTTTATTTTCGCTTGGAATTAATTTTCGCTATACATGTAGTCGCTGAAGTAATGATTCAGTGAAAATAAAATTCAGCGAATATACCTTTTTTCATATATTTTTCATTCAACTCGTGAAAATAAATTCCATACAAAACACCCGAAAAGTCTTTTCAGCAAAAATTAATTCCAGCTAAAATTAAGTATTTTACAGTATTTGGTGAATCACTAATCATTACTCAATGTGATGTATCCATTATGTAACTCAGAAGTCTTCTGATACTGACACAATAACTAAAAATGCAATAGACGTATTCCACCTTTTGAAGTAAACTTTTGTCACCTTTCTACAAAATGAGAAACAGTCATTTTTTTCCAGATTTTTTCTAAAATTATGATCAAGACCTATAAGTAATTAGGATGTAACTTACAAACCACTGTTATTGGCTGTTGTTGGTTAAATAAACTAAATAAATAAATAATGTTAATTTTCGGTTCAAATCTATAAAAAATAATTATGAAAATAGGCAAGATTGTGCATCAAAATTTGATGCTGAAATTTGACAAGTTGAATGTAAAAATAGAAAAAATGTATATTCGCTGGATTTTATTTTCACTGAATCATTCCTTCAGTGAAAATTGCGAAAATTAAATCCATGCAAAAATAAAGTATTTTACAGTACTTAAAAGTTAAATGTATGCTATGGCTTTGTATTACTGTAACAACATCAAGAGGATTCACAACACATTACTGAAAATCGTTAGTTTGGGTTGAACAGATTTTTGTTTGCACGCGGCAAAAAGTGCATGGTTGTATAATATTGGTGATTCCCGTATGGTAGGTACTTCAGTGAAGATAAACTGTTGCTAGGAAACCCTCTAAACAATTAAGTTACAAGGCTATAAATGCAAATAGTCAGAATTTATTCATTTTGCATTAAATAATACTCCTAGGCAATAGAAAAATAGTTGGGGGACACCAGCATAATTTTGGAGAAAATGATGGTTTTTTTAAAGGCTCAATTCACTTGCCCCATGCAAGTGTTTATTGGAGGTGTGGCTATGCTAATGAGTCCTGTTAATCACTTATATTGCCTATGTTTACAGAAATTCATAGTTTATTTACAAGCTGATAGCACTCGTAGGGCTAGTCAGACTTCCATAGAGCACAGACCTGAGCTGCATAAGCATTCCATAATTACAACGTGTTACAACATGATGTGGCATTGACCATTTCTTTGAATTACGTTTATTTCAACAATATCGTCGTCTGAAATGCAGAATTGATGTATCATATCCATCTGTAAAAAAGCCACGAAGAAGCCAGTAAATTAATTTGTACTGAATCACATGCTCTTTGTGGCGACTATTTAAATTTGCAAACATGATTTTCATTGAATCCGCTATTTGATAATGAGAAAAGCATTAGGAACTGTGTCAATGTGTTTGGAGATTGGATGACGCATTCTGTTTCAGCGGCCCAACATCACGTGACATTGATTGACAGCGGTTAATTACATGTATTCAAGTTTAGTAGCACGTCCTTTTTCCAGTTCATGTTTTTGATGTTTATCCTACAAAATCTCAACTCTTACACTATTTATTGCCATAAATACTATATATAGTCATAGTCGTATACATCTACTTTGGCATAATGGACCTGTAAATTTGAGAAAACGCATCTTTACCAGAGTTTGGCTGGAGCTGTTTACTACAGCGTGACTTTCAAGGAAATAATCCCTATTGTTTAGAGGCATATTTTATAGTATGTTTCTATGACCGGGATAATATGGCATAACTCAAATTGTAAGCTGGTGGTGACATATGCTGAAAAAATTGGATACTTTATGTTGTACTAAATTATTTAAAAAGTCTGGGTTTTAAAAATTCTAAAAAAATATTGACATTGTGCTCTATGGAATGGTTCTAAAAATAGTTATTTTTGAAAAATATTAGAACAAGCCAATGAACACTGCTATGCGATTTATGACCAACTTTCTCGAAAATTATGAGTAGGCTTCTACCTCAAATTTATTATATTTTAATTTTTTTTTTGTAGGAAATGATTTTCTGTATAAATACCAAGATGAATTTACTGCAAATGAAGAACAAAGAACAATGATGGATAATTTATGCGGAGTTATTCAGAAGGACGATGTTCTTAGTAAAGTTGATGTCAAACTTTTCCGGTGAGTTACCAAAACAACTTGATCTAATGAATCAATGTACAAGTCGTCATACTCTGACATTATGTGTTTACATGTTCACACATCTTGAACATGTTCAAACTTTATATATACATCATACTTCATGTTGCACATACATGTATTAGCTTGATGATCCAATTCAAGACAGTCGAATGTTGGCCAATTTAATATTTAAAATTCATTTAAATCAAACGTTTCTGCCAATAGACCATTTTCCGTACACTGCGAGAATCACGCGTTATACGTGAAATCGAACGTAAAAACAGGACAAACAAAAGTCATAGCGTCGTAGTCGCGTCAAACATCGCGTGGGATTCGACAAACGCGAAAGTATTTCGGGGACATTTCCATGCTTAATAATGTGCTGTCCACATTTGATGATAGGCAATTTCGATTAAGTGAGGGTATTCGGAAGCAATATTCCTCTGTCGAAGATCGGCTGGTCAATGTAAGCTGCGAAATAAAGAAATTCTAGTTCAAAATCAAATCGTTCGATTTTTGCGGCAGACGTTCGACGCGCGTCTTTCATGCATCTCGCGAGATCTCGCAATTGTTCGGAAAATCACCTATTCCTGAATGTGATCTTGGTCACGTATAGATAGATTTTGATCAAACTTAATACATATATTGAACTTTAGGCCAGACTTATTTTATTCCTTGTTTCTTGAGTTTTTATAAGGCAATTTTTTGCACTTACAAGTCGGCGGTTTCGCGAAACAAGGGATAATAAAAGTCTGGCCTTATCGAACCTTGACACACATCATTTTGTTTTCAAAATGGCCGACTAGCAGCCATTTTGTTTTAGCGAATACTGTTACGGAGCTAAATCTCTGACATGTCGTGACCGAACATGTTCAAACTCTATATATACATCATGTTGCACATATGCACATGATGATCCAATTCATGATGTCTGAATGACAGTCAATTTAATGTTTCTACAAATGAAGCATTTCTGCAATTCTGCAACCGCACCTTAGTTGTAAATAATGGATTTCATTTAAACTTGGTTCAGACGTTATAGAAACTTGTTCACTTATATTTTTAGCTCCGCTGTCGACTTTGTCGAGCGGAGCTTATCATATGAGTGATTGTTCGTCGTCGTCCGTGTCAATGTTTTAATTTTTCGACTTCTTCTTGAAAACTACAAGCCTGAATGCTTTGATACTTGGTGTATATGTACCTTGGGTAGACCTCTCTCAGATTTGTTCATTTCATGATCATATCTTCAATTCTCTAATTTTGGTGAATATTTTTGTCTTTTTTGGTAAAAAGTGATATTTTCGACTTCTTGTTAAAAATCCCTAGTCCAATTGCTTTGATATTACATATATGGGTACTACATGTGGACCTCTCTCAGATTTGTTCATTTTGTAATGATATCTTCTATTCTCTAATTTGGGTGAATATTTTTGTCATTTTTGGTAAAAAGTGATATTTTCAACTTCTTGTTAAAAACCGCAAGTCCAATTCCTTTGATATTACATATATAGGTACTACATGTGGACCTCTCTCAGATTTGTTCATTTTGTAATGATATCTTTAATTTTGTAATTTTGGTGAATATTTTTGTCGTTTTTGGTAAAAAGTGATATTTTTTTCTTGTTAAAAACCACAATCATTTATGGTGAAAAATGATATTTTTGAATTCTTGTTGAAAACAGCAAGTCCCATTGCATTGATACTATGCATATTGTTCATTTTCTAATGATATCTTCTGTTCTTTAATTGAAATGTGCATCGCTAACAGCGGAGCTATCTCAGCCGAGAGGCTGCTTGTTATTTTTCAAAATGTTTGTGAACACAAAACAGAATAGACCTTCAACACAAATGGCCACTGCATGTAGGATCCTGTTATCACATTCACTAATTCTCTTGATCTAGGTAACCATGAGGATGCGATGACGAGAGAGAGTGGAGCGCTATTTCAACCTCAAAAACAATTTAAGTCAATTTATCATTAACCTTTTCACCACCAGTTACTTATTTCACTACGTTCAATTACCCACCATAGACTCTGGTCAGTCAAAATGACTATTTTGAACTGTAGGCATTAATCAGCGATTCTGCCGGTGACGGAGAGATAGAATCTAGGTCAGGGCAAGCCCCATGACCCCAAGATTCTTTACCCCTTACGTCACGAACCCACATGACCGAGGCCACATGGCAGCGCCATAGGCAGCCGTACAATCACTTTTTTTCATCTCTGCCTCATCGGGAATGATTCTGAGCGGCTCTGCCTAGCTCTGTTGCTTTTTCCTGTCCGGGTTTCTAGCATGGGTTGTTGCCGCTGCATGACATCCGACATTGTAGCTGGTAGGATAAGTTTTCCTTGTCATTTTTACCCCTGTGTCGCTTTCCCCTTTGTGTGTAGTATTTTTCACAACAAAGAAATTAAAACCCGGCGCCACTACATGTATGTAACCACTTGCTGGTTTCGCGGCGGCACCTTTTACAACTGTATTTCGTTTTTCCCTCATGCATGTTGTCTTTTATTTACAATGTATTTAGCAATATATAGATGTAATGACAACACCTGGGCTCGCTGCCGTTTTCTTTTCGGTCTCCTCGTGTTTCGAGTCGACTGTGCAGTAGTTATATTCAGAATTTACCAGCATAGAACCCGCATCCGAGATACTTTTTCGTAGCTGCATGCGGGGTTCAGGGTTTTTGCATGAAGGTGTGTGTTTTTTCACTGGAGTTCTGAGACCTGAGGCTTTCTTTCAGAGCCATCAAAATCGCTGAGTCTGACCGCGTCACAGCAAGGTCACGTGTCCAGTAAACAAATTGGTTAAAGTGAGTTGCGTGTTTTGCATGAGTGGAAAGTCCTCACACTCGGCTACCGGTGCTTCGTGTACCGGGACGTTGAGTAGGAGGCCCGATGGTGGAGGTACCGATATTTTTCTCGGCCTCCCCCCGCTGATTGGAGGGCATCCTCACAGTCTGTTTTTTCAGGCGGTGGTTTACCCGATTTTACCGACTGCAGCGAGACTGTGCCCCTGGAGGCTTTCCTTCTATGGGGCCTGTTGCGCTTCCTCGCACGGCGCCGAGTTGCGCTTCCTCGCACGGCGCCGAGTTGAGGGCTTTGGTCGAAGGACTGTCAGGGCAATTGCATCCCTGGCAGGCCGGGTAGATCAGACGCAGTCAAAGCGAGCTGTCTCCACGGTGTCCCCTCGGTGGGCAAGCAGGAAGAAACATGAAAGCATGTTTGCATTCAAACATGTCTCTTCCGGGGAACCCCGTTCCCAGCCGCGGCTCTCCCACTATTTTTGGGGGAGGCCGAGGCTCAGGCTAATTGCATCGGGCCTCCTCTGGAGCCTCTGGCACTGAATGCCAATGAGGTGATGACAGCCAAGCCTCCAATCTCAGGGCAGGGCTTTCAGAGCAGGGCACACGTTGACCCCCCCCCCCCCACTTTCAGCCAGCTAGGATTTGTCACACGGTAACGATACAAGGGTAACGAATTTATCCTTGTGTTCGGTCTCCGCTGTGGGTTTTGACTCCCTTCTTACTGACCAATGGGCATCCCCAGACGGAACCGACCCTGTCATGAGACGCTCAGTCGAACACACTCCCTCTCACATATTTAAAGTGAAAAGAGACGCAGTTTGCTCGTGTCGGATACAGCTGGTACTCCGGGCGGTCCCTCAGAGTCTTCCATCCCTATGACTCGGTGAGCCATGCTTTTGGGGTGATGCGTAGTATCATCGATGCCAGTGATACGATGTAAATACCCCCACCCTTGATCCTAAGGTGACCACCTAATGTTGCTTCAACGCTTATCCAAGTTATCGGATCACGTGCGTCGGGATCCAAAGCAACCCCGTTGGCACGTCTCTCCCTGTCTGTCGAGTGCGGAGTGAGGCGCAGAGCACGCAAACGGTGTTCATGGGCGTCGTTGGTCAGCCAAACGCGTCAGGCTAACACAGGATTTACTTCACCAGTTGGGCTCGTTAGTAAATCGTTAGTAAGTCCCACCTTGACCCAACGCGCAGTTGATGTCCCTGGGCATGGAGTTTTGACACAGAGGTAAGCCTGGCTTATCAAGCGTGCTGCTTAGCGCTAAGCAGCCTAGCCGAATGCCTAGTCAGCGTTCCCTCAGTGTCCCTCCGAGAACTAATGCGGATCATCGGAATGATGACCTCAGTTCAAAGCGTCGTTCCCCAGGCCGCACTACGCAGCCGCCTGGTATAACGCTTGTTATAATGCCAAGCTCTCCTATGGGAACTAGATAGGCGGGTTTCGATCTCGAACCAAGTGAAGGAAGCCCTGCCCTGGTGGTCGTCACTGGCCAACCTCGGACAGGGGGCCCTTGGACCCGCTCGCTGCAGGTATGACTCTGATAACAGATGCTTCCCCCCGGGGTTGGGGAGCGTATCTATTGGACCAACAAGCCCAAGGATATGGCCCCGCATTAGTTTCGGGATTACCATATCAACCGACTCGAACTGAGAGCAGTGTACTTAGCACTACCACGCTTTCTATCTGTACTTCGAGACCACAGAGTCCTGCTCCGCACAGGCAACGCAGCGGTGGTCTCCTTCAAGAAGAAGGGGGGGATACATTCCCCATCGTTGTCAGCCCTAGCGGAGCAAATCCTCCTTTGGTGCCTGGAATACAATGTGGAGCTAACCGCACACCACCTTCCAGGGGTGAGGAACAGTCTGGCGACGCCCTTTCAGGACGGCTTCGTCTCCAGAGCACGGAGTGGCTGATACCCCAGTGGGTAGCCTCCAGGCTGTTTCGGCTGTGGGGCGGTCCAAGCAGTTTGCCGCACCCCGGATCGCCAAGCTCCTGACGTATGTAACACTCCTGCTGACTCAGGAGCCTGGGCCAGGGCCGCTTTGCTAACCCCGTGGACCCACTTAGTTGTGAACGCTTTTCCTCCCTTCCGGCTAGTTCATCGGGCACCGGAGAAAACTTTGACAAGTGCACACCTGCATATTATCATGGATGCACCCAATTGGCCAAGCAAGGCCTAGTTTCCACTTCTGTTGGAAATGCTAGTCGAAACACCAGCAGTGCTTCCGGACTTACCGGCACCGGCCGTCCCAACCAGACGGCACACAACCAACGAGCCCAGCAGGTATCACTTACACGCATAGAGGCTCTCAGTAGACCTGTACATATGAAAGCCTTATCTGAGCGGGCTGCCAACATCCTGGCCAGGGCGAACAGGGATTCCACCAACGCGGCCTACATTTCTAGGCTGCGAGCATACACTGATTGATGTAGCGGAAGGGAGATTGATCCATACCATCCCTCTACAGGCCAGGTAGCAGGCTCCTTGGTCCACCTGTTTGACGAAGTGGGTTTGTCCTATGCAGCGATCGTTGGCTACAGGTCGGCCTTGTCCCCCACCACTCAAAACGTACGGGAACAAGACTAGCCGATTGTCCTATTATTAGGAGACTATTTACTGCTTTCCGGACGCCAAGACCCCATACAAGGGAGCCGCCCAACTGGGACTCGTCGGCTGTGTTGTCTACTCTAAGCAGACCGCCCTTTGAGCCTCTCCAATCAGCACCACTCAAATTTTTGACGTGGAAAATAGTCTTCCTACTGGCCC